GAGGGACACACGGCCGGGGCAGGATCAGGGACCTGGGTGCAGGGGGTTGGCGGGTAGCCCCCCACGTCACTGGAAGACGTCAGCGCAGGGGGCGGGGCACGGTTTAGGGGAACCGCAGGGCTGCCCCTCTCTCTGTGTGATGGACACACACCGCGCTCTTCTCTGAGCCTCAGTTTCCCCGCTTGTTCACAATGCCCTGCCCGCACGGGGGTGTGCCCCCTGGCTGCCCGCTCTCCGCGCCTTGCCTTCCCAGCGCGTCCAGCCTGGGCTCCCAGAACCAGGGGTGGGGACAAGCGGTCTCTCAGGGGACAGACGGCGGGAAGAGGGAGACACTGAGGGACATGCCATGTCTGTCGCTGAGTCCCCCGCAGCGTCAGGGCGCTTCCTGGGACCCCTTGCTCGGGCTGGAAGGGAGCCAGCACCGCCGTGCTGGCCTGAGGGTGTCCCTGTCGGGGCCATGGGGGGCTCAGGGCAGCCCCCGCCTCACGGGGCCAGGGGCGCCGAGGAGGCAGGGGCAGCGGGGACTCCCCGAGGGGGAAAGGGGCGAGGTGGGGGGCGGGGGGCGGAGGAGCAGGGCAGGGCGGGACCCACGGCGGGAATCCCAGCGGGGCGGGACGCCGGGGGGGGGGGCGCCAGGCCAGCGGGGCGGGCGGCGGGCGAGCGGAGCCTCGGCCTAGGGAGCCCTCGCGGGCGGCCCCCACGTCCGGCCCCCGCGGAGCAGGGCGAGGCTGTCCCTCCCCATGCGGCCCAGAGCCTTGCGGTCCCACGGTGCGGGCACGCGTCGGGGACAGGAAGCTGGGCTGCCCTGGGGGACGGGGAGGGGCCCGGGGATGGGGGCAGGCAGCCCGGAGCCACGGACCGGGGGCCGGTGACGGGGCCGAGGGGGGCCCGGTCTTGCAATTAGACCTGAGGGCCATCAGAGCGCAGCCAGCGCCACCTGTGTGAGTGACTCACAGGAACTGAATGCGTCCTCGCCGCCTTCTCCCGGCCAATTTGTCCCACGCGAGGGAGCGGGGGAGAGGGCACGGGTGGGGCAGTGGCCATCTGAGTCACGGCCCCGGGGGTGACGTGGGGGTCTGGAGAGGGACCCCAGGAGCCAGGAGCCCCTGGCAGGAGCCCGTGGCCTTGGCCATGACCTCATGTGAGGGGCTGGAGAGACAGGGGCTGGGGGTCCCCCCGCCTGTTCCCTCCCAGGGCACTGCAGGCCTCGTAAACCCCAAGTGCCTACCGCAGGCGCACGCAAGCACGCGTGGGACACAGGCTTGCACAGGCACACGCAGATGCCCAGGCTCACACATCCAGATGCACACATGCCCACACGCGGGCGCACACACGCGCACACACGTTCACTGCGCGCGCACCCATGTGCACGCACGCTCACACACGTGCGTTCACACGTGCGCAGCAGCTCACAGGAAGAGGAGACCTGCCTGGATGAGGAGGCGCAGCCGCCGGCCCGAGGGCCCGGCAGGGTCTGTCCAGTGAAGGGGGCGGGAGGCCCACGTGAGGGCAGGGTGGGCACCCTCGGGGGAGCGGGGCACAGGGCCAGCCCCCTGCGCACTCTGCTGTGGGTCTGGCTTCCCACCGCCCAGTCTCCGCCCGCCCCCCCCCAACCCCGCCATCGACCGGCGGGAGGCCCAGGCCGCGCGTCGATACCCCCGCCTGCCCCTCGCCTGCCGGCGGCTCCGTCTGACAACAGGCTCCTCAGGCTAATTGCACTGACCTTTCAGCTCTGACAGGCCTGCGTGTCCATGGCTCTTGTGCCTTCCTCCACCTGCAGGAAGGCGGGCTGCTCCTCTGCGGCCCCCCGCCCCACTTGCGGGGGCCCCCAGGCTGGCCAAGGCCAGGGGTGGGGGGGCGGCCCCAACAAGGCCTCTGTCTCCAATCCCCCGGGGGGGCTGCTTCCTGCAGGGGCCTCGGTGGCAGCCTCAGGAGAAGGTGGGGGTCGCCCCGCAGCCCCCAGCAGCCCCCAGGAACCACGGGCCCAGGGACAGCCCCGGGCAGCCTGGCACCGTGAGGGGCCCGGCCTCTGAGGCGCATGTCCCTGTCTGAGCAGACCCTTCTCCCTGTGAGCAGGGACGCTGGCCCCTGGCTCCGGGCTCAGGGTCCCGGGCTCCAGGGGCTGAGGAGAGGTGTGGGGACACCTAGTCGGCTGGGCTCTGTGTGGGGGGGGAGGGTCTTCCCAGGGCACAGATGGCACCCCCCGCGATGGGGACCTTCCCCGCTCACACCCTGGAGGCAGCCTCTGGTGCAGGTGGCCGGGGAGCTCCCTCCCCAACTGTCCTCCCGGCAGCTGCGGGATGAGGACCCCAGAGCCGTGCCGCCTCCCCTCTGCCGCTGTCTCTGGGCCCCGCTTGCCCGTGGGCCCGGGTCCTGGGAGGGGACACGGGGCAAGAGTCCCAGATGGGCAGCGGCGGGGAGCAGCCCCCAGGCCTGGGAAGGGGGCCTGAGGCTACGCAGTCGGGCTGAGCGCTGCGGGCCCTGCCCTTCCCTCGCCAAGGGCCCCCCGCCAGCCGCCCGCCCCCCACTGTCATTATGGGCCATTACGTCCCCAGCAGGCCTGGGGGAGGCTGCGGAGGGCGCACCCAGGCCTCAGCACCTCCTCATCGCAGGCCGGCGCCGACATGGCCCAGGGAGGCTGAGGGGAGGGGGCCGCGGGCGGGAGGCGGGATGTGGGAGCCCAGGCCTCGGCCCCACAGGCCCCTCCTCCTCTTCCCTCCGTGCCGGCCCCGCCCAGCTCGCCCCCAAGCCTACCCCTGGACCTCAACCCCACCCCTGTCTCCCCCTCCCTGCGAAGAGCCCCCAGCCCTGGCCTGCCGCTCGGGGTGCCTGCAGACCCAGGGGGTGCGGGCGGCCGCCCCTCTCAGGCCACCCCAGCCCCTGGGCACAGACCCCACCGGGCCCCTGAACGGCAGTGTCTCGGGAGTGGTGGGCAGAGGCTGCGCGACCCACAGAGAGGCCACCGCCCTCGGCCCTCCCGGCTGCCGAGTGGGTCCACCGACCCTCACGCGCGACGGGCCTCGGGCGGGGGCCGCGCCAGGAGAGGGGGCTCGCGAGGACCCCTCACCGGCCGGGTGGAGGAGGGGCTGCCCTGGAGCATCACGAAGGCTCCCTCCACAGGACACACAGGGACCGCGGGTGGACGGACGCACCACCGGCCGCCGGGGCCAGCGTGAGGCTGGAGGCCGGAGGGGCCACACTCACCTCAGAGGGCGTGCACGGTGCTGGCCCTCGGCCCGGCCTGGGCCCTGGTTCGGGTCGCTTGGCCCCAGGGGAGGATTGAGAGCTTAGCTGCTCCCCAGCTCCACGGCGGCTCAGGTAGAAAAGGAATTAAGGAACAATGTTTGTGCCAGCCGCAGGCATTTGCCAAAAGGTTAAATCCACACCCGCGGAGGCCCTCCCTCCTCTGGCGGTATTTAACGGATCAGTCAGCCCCCCCGCGCTGCGCCCCCCTGGAGCAAAGGGGCGGGGCTGGACCCACGCCTTCAAAGGTCCCCCGCGGGGGACCCCTGTCCAGAGCTGGGCCAGGGCCGGGAGGCAGACCCCACTGAGATCCTCTCTCGAGGGGCCCAGAGCCCAGGAGCTGCGGAGGGTGAAAGCGGGGAGGGGAACGGAGGTAGGGTGGGTAACGCAGCGGCCAGAAGGAGGAGGCGTGGCAGGGTGCGTGTGGGCTGTGCCAGGCCTTGCAGGATGCGTAGGAGCTCGCCAGGGAGCGCGGGGTAAGGGGCGGCATCAGGCCCTCCCTCGGGAGGAGGCGGTGGGTGTGGCCGGGGCGGGAAGAGCGGCAGGCGCTGGGGAGGGGCGGTGCTTGGCCCGGGAGCTGCGCTGAAGAGCAGGCGGGGCCTGGGGTTCTGAGAGGTGCTGGGGGTGGGCTGAGGCAACGGGGCGACCCCCCGGGGCGGACCTGCAGGCCCTGCTGGGTCACTGTGCCCTGCGTTGCCGGGCGCAGAAAGCCCACGTCTACGGCCACACACGCGGCCCAGTCCTGCGCGGGGAGGGCGCGGCGGGTCCTCCAGGAACCGTGGGCCTCCAGGTTCCGTCCTCGCCCCGCCGCTCGTCCCTGCCTGCCCAGGTCCCCCTCCATGAGGGTCCTTTGTTGAGACAGGAGCCTCTCCCTGAAAGGCCCGGGGCTGCTGGTGTCCCACAGCCGGCACATCTGTCCCCGAGCCTTTGCCCGGAGCCGCCCCGCCCCTGGTCTCCCAAGGGGCCGACACCCGCGTGCACGTCGCGTCTGGAACTCGGGGGAACGCTGGGCAAGTTGTCCTCCGGTGCCCAGGGGCTGAAGTGGGGGCTGGGGCCAGGGGAGCTTCAGTGAGGAAGGAGGACCCGGGGCCCTCGGCGCATGGGGTGGGGGGACACGTCCCCCAAAGGAGCAGAGGGCCCTGGGGGGAGCTGGAGGCGGGAGGCGGGAACAAGGGGGCGCGTGCACACAACCCTGGCTGTAGGGGGCTCCCTCAAGCCCAGGCCCAGCCTCCTCCTCCAGGCTGGAAGGATGGGCCCTTCCGGAACCGCCCGGGTCCTTCCAGGTGCCTGGGGACCCAGGCACAACGGGGACCCTGCTGGGACACACGGTGAAGGGAGGGATCACGAGAACAGCGGGGGACCTCCGCCATCGAGGCGGGAGCCCGGGTCGCTGCTCCGGCTTCCGGGCTCTGCGCAGCGTCGCCGGGGGGTCTGCGTCCCCTCCTGCCACCCCGCCCGGTGGGGCCAGGGGGGCTCCAGCCGTCCCCAGTCCCCAGAGCACGCCCACCGGGCCACGATGACTCAGTGCAGGCCAGGCGGCGACAGTGGAGGCAATTAGAGTTAATGGGACAGAGCCCTCTCTCCGGCGTCTCCGGCTCCTCGCCCACCCCGCCCCCCTCAGGCGGTGGCAGGCGGGAGCGGGCTGCGAAGGAGGCGGGAGGTGGGGGACCCGGGGGGCTCTGACGTCAGCTCAGCCTATAAGAGGCCGCCTGGCTGAGGGCTGCGGACAGAGCCTCGGACCCGGACCTCGCCGTGCCATGCCCAGTCCCGGCAGCAACGCGCCGCAGGCCAAGGGCTTCCGCAGGGCCGTCTCCGAGCTGGACGCCAAGCAGGCCGAGGCCATCATGGTAGGAGAGCAGGCGGGTGCCCCCCGGCTCGGAGTCCCTGCGGGCGACTCGGACCCAGGCTGGGTGTGGGGTCCCGGCCGGGAGCCCCTCCCCGGCCCAGGCACTGGGCTGGGCGTGTGAATCTGGGCGGTGGCTCGTTGGGACCCAGCACGTGGGAGGGAGCCCCAGGCCGTGGCACAGCTGTGGGGGTGCTGGGCACACGGGGGGCCCCCTGGGAGGTGCAGCCGGGGCCGAAGGGGGGTCGGGGTGCTGGGCGATCCCGCCTGCCACGCACCCATGTCCCCCAGCCCCTGCCCTGCAGCCCTGGGCCCCTGACCACGCGGGACGCCCCCAGACTGTTGCGCAGGGGAGCCCAGATTCCGGGGGGTGTGTGCTGGGCAGACCCTCAGCCAGCCCCTCCGTGGGACTGGGTGATGGGGGGCGCTTCTGGGCCTGGAGTCTTCAGTCCACTCTCGGAGCGCCCCAGAACAATCAGCTCCCTGCACTTTTAAGGGGGGCTTTCGCTTTTAGACCTTCCACGGAGACGTGGTTTGAGTTCCAGAAATCTAATTCACACGAACCTTCTCGGCCGGGGCGGGGGGCACGTTGTAGGGCAGAGCCCCCCCGGAGGCCCACAGCCTGGCTCTGCCCACACCCCTGAGGTCGAGCAGGGGTTCAGGCGGAGGCTCCCCTGCACCCCCACCCCCAGCTTCCACAGCTCCTTGGAAGTCCGGCACCAAGGGGTGAGCCCCTGCCGCAGCACCTCCTTCGCCCAGGACCGGGGGCTCTGAGCGTGGGGGTCAGACGCACTGACCCCCGGGGCCGACTGTCTCAGGCACGGGCCGTGGACCGGGGCCCTTGTGTCCTGGGGGAGGGGACGTGTGGCCAAGCGGCCCTGCCGGGGGAGGGCTGCCGGGGACACGGGTGAGGAGGGGGCACTCACAGGAGAGCCCGGCGGGCGGGCCCTGCCCTGCGGCTTGACCGCATGCTCGCGGCCCCCGCCCCGGGCTCCCCCGCCGTCCACCTGGGGGACGAGGGGAGGCAGATGCAGGTCCTCAGCCACTCCGTCCTGCTGCCTAATTCAGTTAGAGCCGGGCATGGGGACAGGCAGCCCAGCGCCTCCGTGCCACGGCTGCTGCCCGCCCCTCACGTGCCCGGAGACCTGGGCGGAGGTTCTGCCGGGCCCGCCGGGCCCTCCGGAGCACACAGGAGGCGCTCGGCGACGAGTCTGCGTTGGCGGGTCGGAGCCTCGGGGCCCGGGAGAGCTGGCTGCCCTGTCCCCACAGTCCCCGCGCTTCATCGGGCGGAGGCAGAGCCTCATCGAGGACGCGCGCAAGGAGCGGGAGAAGGCGGAGGCGGCGGCGGCCGCGGAGCCGGCGCAGCCCCTGGGGGCCGGGGCGTGCGTGGAGAGGGACGGGAAGGCCCGGCTGAGCCTGCTCTTCACCCTGCGGGGCACCAAGCCCTCGCCGCTCTCCCGTGCCCTGAAGGTGTTCGAGGTGAGGGCGGCAGGGGGCCCGCAGCCGGGGCCGGGGGCGTGGGGGGGGCCGGACTCGGGCCACTGACCAGGCCACTGAGGGCCGCGAGAGGGGAGGGCCCTAGGAGCTCCGGGGAACCCCACAGCTGCATCACCCCCCGAGGTTTGCAGGGCCCCAGGGAAGCCTCTGAGCCCCGTGGGGGAGTGGGCATGGCTCCCAGCAGGGCAGCGGGGTCAGGGCCGGGTCCCCGCTCCCACCGGCCCCCGACGGCCTCCATGGCCACTGACTGCACCGGCAGCTGGGGACACGCCCAGCCGGGGGGCGGGAGACGGGCCCTCAGCACCGGTGCCCAGCGGACATTACAGCCAGACTCTGCTCCCAAGCTGCTGCGCGGCTGCGTGGCCCGAGGCCGTGGGGACCCTGCACCCTCACCGCTGGGTGACCAGAGCTGGTGGGGGATCCGACCCTTCCTAGTCCCCGGGCTCGGTGTCACCGAGCAGGGGTCTGAGCCTCCCGAACTCGCCATGGGGGGGATGCGGGGCCCACCCCCAGGCCTCAGCGAGGCCGGCGGGACCTTCTGGCCAGTGGCCGGGGAGTCAGGCGTTCTGGGTGTGGTTGTGGGACCAGACAGCACCACCCCAGACACAGAGTCCAGGGTCCCGCTGGGACAGCGGCTGGCAGGCGAACGTGGCAGAGCCCCGTTCCCCAGCCACATGCCCTGTCTGGGCCCGAGCGACGGCCTGAGCCCGGGGAGCCACGTGCGTGTCCGACAGGGCAGGCCCCGCTGATCCGGGGGCTTCCTTCCCGCCCCTCCCGCGCGTCCCCGCCCACCCCTCCCTTCCTCTCTCCGGCATGTCCCCGCTAGACGTTCGAAGCCCAAATCCTGCACCTGGAGACCCGGCCGGCGCAGCGGCCGCGGGCAGGGGCGCCCCACCTGGAGTTCTTCCTGCGCTGCGAGGTGCCCGGCGCCGACCTGCACACCCTGCTGAGCTCCCTGCGCCGGGTGGCGGAGGATGTGCGTGGCGCGGGGGAGAGCAAAGGTGGGCCCGCGGCTCCGTCCTGAGGGCGGCCCGCGACCCCGAAGCCCTGGGTGCGGGGCAGGGGCAGGGCCCGCAGGGGAACCCCGCGGGGGCAGGGGGCGCGGCGGGCTCCCTCCGGCTGGCTCTGCCTCCCGCCCCCCGCCAACGGGGCGGGCCACACTCCCCCAGAGCCTGCGCTCACCCGGGCCCCTCTGTGCAGTCCTCTGGTTCCCGAGGAAAGTTTCTGAGCTGGACAAGTGCCACCACCTGGTCACCAAGTTCGATCCCGACCTGGACTTGGATCACCCGGTGAGCCAGGGCTTGTCCAGGACAGCCGGGCCCCCCACCTCCCGTACCGGTGGCCGGGTGGCGGGCGTGGCCCCTGGGCCGGCCGTGGAAGGGGTGGCCGGCTCCCAGCAGGGGCTGCCCTGCACCCCTGGGCAGGCGGGTAGGGGGGTACGGGCGGCAGGGGAGCCTCCTGAGGTGCGCCCACTCCCCCTCCAGGGCTTCTCGGACCAGGCGTACCGCCAGCGCCGGAAGCAGATCGCCGAGATCGCCTTCCAGCACAAGCAGTAGGGACGCCCCGCTCCCGGGGCCCCGCCTCCGGGCCAGAGCCCGCCCTGCAGCCTCACCCCAACCTCACGGGGTGGCGGGGGGTGGGGGGGTGCCTTTGTCATCACCGCCACCTTCACCGTCCCTGCCGTCACCATGTGACTCGGGGTCCCCAAGGCGCAGCCACACAGCGGCCGGACATTCGGCCCTTCCTGTCCACCCCCCAACATGCTGTCCCCGAGGGGCCCTGGCTGACTGCCACCTCCTCCACAGCGGTGATCCCATTCCCCGGGTGGAGTACACGGCCGAGGAGATCGCCACCTGGTGAGCCCCCACGCCGGCAGCTGGGGCCGGGCAGGGGTGCAGACGAGGAGGGCCCGGGGAGGACCCCCCTCCCGAGTCCTGCGTTCCAGAGCAGTGATTTCCGGCAGGACGGACTAAGGCCAGCGGAGAGGGGCTTCACAAAGCCCCAAATGTCAGCCTGGAAGGAGGGGCGACCTGGGTGGGTCGTCTAGGGAGCTGAGGGCTGCCGCTGCTGCCTCCGTGTCCTGGTGTCCCCGAAACCACAGGCGGGAGCCACCCCCACCCCCGCAAGTGGCCAAGGGTTTCGGGGCTGAGGTGAGGCCAGCAGGGGCGGCCGCTCCAGGGGGCCCGGGGCCCCGCAGGCCTGAGCTGTCCCGGCTGCCCACAGGAAGGAGGTGTACACCACGCTCAAGGGCCTGTACGCCACCCACGCCTGCCGGGAGCACCTGGAGGCGTTCGAGCTGCTGGAGCGCTGCAGCGGGTACCGGGAGGACAACATCCCGCAGCTGGAAGACGTCTCCCGCTTCCTGAAGGGTGCGCCCCACGGCAGGGCTGGGTGGCAGGGCGGGTGAGCCCAGGCGGCCGGCCCCCGACCTGGCCCCCCGAGGCCCTGACCGCCCGCGGCCCTTGCAGAGCGGACCGGCTTCCAGCTGCGGCCCGTGGCCGGCCTGCTGTCCGCCCGGGACTTCCTGGCCAGCCTGGCCTTCCGCGTGTTCCAGTGCACCCAGTACATCCGGCACGCCTCCTCGCCCATGCACTCCCCCGAGCCGTGAGTGCGCTGCCCCCGCCGCCGAGGGCCCGCCGCAGGCCAGGGGAAGCCCGCCGCCTGCGGAGGCCCAGGTCCCCGTGGGGGGAGGGGGCAGAGGGCCGGTGGGCCCGGCCGCAGCCCAGCCCTTTCTCCCGCCCCGACACAGCGACTGCTGCCACGAGCTGCTGGGGCATGTGCCCATGCTGGCCGACCGGACCTTTGCCCAGTTCTCCCAGGTGCGTCCTCGCGGCCTCGGGCCAGGAGCCGGGTCTGCGGAGGGGCTGCGGGCCCGCCCTGGGCGGGGGGTACCCTGGAGCCCCGGCACCATGCCTGAGCCGCCCCCGGGCTGGCCCGTGCCCGCTGGAGCCTGAGAGACGCCAGGGAGACGGCGTGATCCTGGCACAGAGGGGCAAGGGGTGGGCTCAGACCCACAGCGGGAGGCCACCTGATACAAATGATAAACAAGTGTCCTTTTCTGGGAGTCAGCCAGGGGCCTGGGGACAGGGGACAGGCTGGGGCGGGGGCCCACGGCATGGGGTGCCACCTGCTGGCTCCCCAAGGAATAGCAGAGAGCCATCCCGGGCCCCTGATGGACCCCAGCGCCCGGCTGTGGACACCCCAGCGTCCTCAGCTCACGCAGGTGCCCGGTCCATGGCGGCAGAGCCCCCCTCCGCCACCGTCAGCCTCCACCCCCCTCCACAGGACATCGGCCTGGCGTCCCTGGGAGCCTCAGACGAGGAAATCGAGAAGCTGTCCACAGTGGGTGCCTCCCTGCAGGGCCTGTGGGTGGGCTCAGGGGCCTGGGCGCTGGCGGGCCCTTCCGTCTGCCCGGGGAGCCTGGCCCTCACGTTGTGGCTGCCCCGGAGCCTGGCCACCCTGCCTGCATGGGCGGGGTCCCTGGGGCGGGGCGGGGGGTTGGGGGGCGGAGGGGCGGCGATCCCTGCAGCCCGCGTCTCCCCGCAGCTGTACTGGTTCACCGTGGAGTTCGGGCTGTGCAAGCAAAACGGGGAGGTGAAGGCCTACGGAGCCGGGCTGCTCTCCTCCTACGGGGAGCTCCTGGTGAGACGTGCCCCCGCCCCGTCCCCCGCCCCCTGGCGGCCTGCAGCGGGGAAGCTGGGGCCAGGTCCCCTCGGGGAGGGCAGCTCCGGCGGGGCGGGGGGCCCACAGAGCTCACCTCTGCTCCTCCCGCCGCGGCGCCAGGCCCGGGGAGGACCCCGGGGGCGGAGGGCGGAGGGCGGGAGTCCACGCGCAGAGTGGGTCCCGGGGGGCCTTGGGGAGCCGGGCCCTGCGACTGCGGCCTCCCGCCAGCACTCCCTGTCGGCGGAGCCCGAGATCCGGCCCTTCGACCCCGACGCTGCGGCCCTGCAGCCCTACCAGGACCAGACGTACCAGTCCGTGTACTTCGTGTCCGAGAGCTTCAGCGACGCCAAGGACAAGCTCAGGTGGGCCGGCTCCTGGGCCGCGACCGCCCCCGCCCCTGCCCCCAGACCGGGCCGGCCTGGGGCAGCCGGGCCTGCGGGCGTTTTCTGCAGCAGTGGAAACTACGAGCCTCTCAGTGACCACGCCCCGCCCTCCGCAGCACCCCGAAAAAGGCCGGGAGGGGGAGGCCTGGGGCTAGCGGCCAGGTCAGGGTCAGGTCGAGGCCGGGCTTCTTGGGGGCAGAGTCTGTCTTTTGTGAGAAGGATCCGTGGGGTCCCTCTCAGTTCCTGCCTCCTGAGCGGCTGGGGTCGGAGGTGGGGCAGAGAAAAAGAGCAAGGGGCCTGGGAGCCCCGAGGGAGCAGGCCGTTCCCAGGACAGGGGGCCCGGGCGCGGGGGGGCTGGGCAGAGCCTGGCACGCCCGCCTCTTTGTCCTGGGAAAGGGCTAGAGTCCTGTCACAGGAAAAACGAAGGCTCAGGGGCTGTGTGCCCAGAGCAGGGAGGGCTGGGTCCCACACGCAAGCCTAGGGACAGAGACAATACCGGACTCTCCAGGGCACGTGGTCAGGGAGGGCTTCCTGGAGGAGGAGGCCTTGGGGAGGAGCAGGGAGGCATGGGGCGTCCTGGAGGCTACAGACCCTGCCCCAAGCTGCCCCAGCTCCCCTCTGTCCCCCAAGGCCCCGAGTCCCCACCGGGTGACTGAGGGTCCTTGCCCGCCCGTCCCCAGGAGCTACGCCTCCCGCATTCAGCGTCCTTTCTCCGTGAAGTTCGACCCGTACACGCTGGCCATCGACGTGCTGGACAGTCCCCAAGCGATCCGGCGCTCCCTGGAGGACGTCCAGGACGAGCTGCAGACCCTCAGCCACGCGCTGAACGCCCTCGCCTAAGCCGGCGGCAGACCCTGCGGGCCCTGGTGGGCTGGGGTCTCCCGGCCCTTCCCCGCCTCCCCGGCCCCCTGAGGGGCCGGGCCCCAGCACCCCGAGTGCTCGCCCGAGGCCCTCCCTGCACAGAGCACCTCGCCAACCCCACTACGCTTCTCAGCTCCATGCCGGTGCCCTGCTCCCGCGCCGCCCGCGCCGCTGCGTGCTGCTCGTTCAGTCTTAATAAAAGAGAGAGGTCCCCGCCTGCCTGTCTGGTGTCCACGCGCACGCGCCCCCAGGCCCCGGCCCTGCACCCTCCCCGCCTGGCTCGGAGCCTCTCCTCCGCCCCGTCCCTGTGGCAGCAAGGACGGAGTCGGGGCGCGGCGTTGGGGGCGGGGCTCTCGGCTGGGATGCAGGGGCCTGCGGCCTCCTGTACACCGAGGAGGCAGGGTGCCCAGGGGCCAGCCTGTGAGAGCGGATGGGCCTGGCAGCCTCTGACCCCGCCCCCCGCCCCAGCTGGAGCAGGACCGGGGGCTCCCCGACCTGGGAGCTAACTCCAGGCCTCCGTCTCCCCTGCAAGGCGGGCGGGGGGGCTGGGTTCTAGGTCCTAGCCGCTGCCTCTGAGCTCCCTGGAGGGGCCAGACCTGGCCCTGCCTCTAGGTCTAGGGTCCCTGTGCCCCCTAGGGGCGGCCTGGGGCTGCCCAGCCCCTCCCTCCCTGCAGTGTGGGCAGAGCCGGCCCCCCTCCAGGCTCTGCTCAGGGCCCCCGGCCACCCCTGATCACAGCACCAGCGCCCTGGCTCTGAACTCTCAGGATGCCTGTCCTGGCGATCTCCTGCCCAGACGCCAGTCCCTCCTGGGCAAAGCCTCCTCCCCCCGCCCACCTGGCGTCCGCCCTTCTTCAGCTGTGCCTCAGCGCCTGGACCGCGCTGCCGGCGGGGCCCCAGCTCGGGCCATTTCTGACAGCCGGGGGCCCCGAGAGACCCGGGGGCGGGCTGGTGTCCGGCCTTGCCACCCTCCAGCCCTACTGACCCCAGGCTCTGTGCTCCGCCGGGCTCCCCTCCCTCCTACTGCCCCGCCGCCCCCCACAGCAGGCCCCAGGCCGGCCCTGGCGGCAGAGGCCGGGGGCAGGGGGGCCCTGGTCCCTGAACGGCAGGGCTCAGTCTTTCCTTGGCGAGAGGGGCCCCGAGACCCTGCTGCCCAGAGAGGGGTGGAGGCGGCAGGAGGCGGGACTGTTCGGAGGGACTGGGGGCCACCCCAAGGGCTCAGCCCTCGCGGCCGCAGGGCGGGATGATGGGGTTGGGGGCCAGGCTGGAGGGGCTGGCTCAGGGGAGGGGCAGGGACCCCAGGAGGAAGGGCGGGGGCCTCGAGGGTGTGTGGGTGGGGCCTGGCCTGGACACACCCACGGGGTCCTAAGGCCGCAGCGCAGAGGGGAGCTGCTGCCCCGCGTCGAAGCTGAGAGACGGGGTCGGCCTGAGGGTCTCATGGCCGCTGGTCCCATGCGCAGCCTCCCGGCAGGGCTGGGCCCCCTGGGAGCTGCTGTGCTGGGTGGGGTGGTGTCCCTCCCTGTCCCTCGGCCTCCCGCGCCGCAGCCCAGACCGTCCGGGGGGCCTTGTGGGCGGGCCAGGGTTGGGCGGCAGGGCTTTGGGGCCAGGGCAGGAAGACCCCCCCTCACCCCCCGGCTCGCGGTGCTGATGTGGAAACCTCGGCTTCGCTCCCGGGGAGGCAGGGGGCTCTCTGCCCCCTGCTGAGTGGGGCCCCAGGGCCATCAGGTCCCTCATTAAGAGTCTAATGAGCCCCGTGGCCCCCAGAGCTGCTGACACCAAGGTCCCAGGAGAGGTTCCTGCAGACCCAGCGCTGGGCAAATGGTCCAGAAATTGCAGCCTCAGCCCCCACCCCACCCCCTGGGCCATCTGCCACACACCCCCCCGGGGCTCTAATGGGCCGGCAGGCTGGGGCTATAAAGCGGGCCGGGCCCCACGGCCCCCAGCCCTCCGGACCGGGGACACGCAGAAGCCATCGGCAAGCAGGTCAGTCCCCGGGGGGCTCCGAGTCAGCCTGGGTCGGGGCTGCCCCTCTGGGGTGCAGGGTGCTGGGCTCTTCCCTTGGAGCCTTTGGGGGCGAGCGCGGGGTGGGGGTGCCCGGCGGGCACGTGCCCCTCGCTGGCCTCAGCCGCGCCGTCCCCAGGTGGTCGACGCCCCGCCATGGCCCTGTGGACGCGCCTCCTGCCCCTGCTGGCCCTGCTGGCCCTCTGGGCGCCCGCCCCTGCCCAGGCCCTGGTCAACCAGCACCTGTGCGGCTCCCACCTGGTGGAGGCGCTGTACCTGGTGTGCGGGGAGCGGGGCTTCTTCTACACGCCCAAGGCCCGGCGCGAGGCCCAGGACCCGCAGGGTGAGTGGCTGCCGGCCCAGCCCGGCCCCCACGGGCACCTGGGGGAGTCAGGCAGGGTGTTAGGGACGGAAACGACGTTCCCTTGGTCACACCCTGGAAGGGGCCGGCTCTCTGGTCAGCGTTGGCCTCTGGGGCAGAGGCCGGATGACACCCCTGCGCTGGGCTCGTGCCCTCTCCCGTCTTCCATTGGCCCCTGGCCCCTCGAACAAGGGTCCTGCCCACTCCACCCTGCCTCTGGGTGCTGGCTGTCTCGGGGTGGAGGGCCCTGGGGGCCGATGGGGGTGCCCCACCCTCCCACGCAGAGGCCCGTGGGGCCCGGGCGCTGGGGCGCGCTCTGCGGAGCCGAGAGGGGCGCGCCTGCTCAGGTCCCCTCTGCTCCCTGCCCTGGCGGCCGGCGGCCGGGGGTGGGGGGCAGGCCTGGCCGCCCCGGAGCCGAGCGGGGCGTGGGGGCGGCGGTCCGGCCGCCTGCCCTGACTGCGCCCCGTCCCTCCCGCAGCGGGGGAGGCGGAGCTGGGCGGTGGCCCCGGCACCGGGGGCCCGCAGCCCCTGGCCCTGGAGCGAGCCCTGCAGAAGCGCGGCATCGTGGACCAGTGCTGCACCAGCATCTGCTCGCTCTACCAGCTGGAGAACTACTGCAACTAGCGGAGCCCGCCCCGCGCTGCTCCCTGGCCCCTGCGACCCAATAAACCCTCAACGAGCCTGGCGCTGTTCGGTGTCTGTGTGTTGCGGCGGGGCTGGGACGGGCGGGGGGCGGGGCGGGCGGCGGGGCGGGGTGTGCCACAGGCCCTGCCGGCTTTCCCCACGCTCACTGGGTGCCCGTGGGCACGTGGCAGGCCCCAGGTGGCCAGCTCCTGCCAGCGGTGGCGGCCCATGGCCCCCCGCCCCGGTCACTGGGAGGACTTGGGGTCCCCTGGCTGTTTCAGGGCAGGGCAGAGAAGGCTCGTGGGGTCTCCGGGAGGCTGGGGGCCGGGGGGCTGACCGCGGGCTGACCCAGAAGGCCCCAGGAGCTTTCCGAGAGAAGAGTGAGGTCCGCGTCGCCCCGAGGACCAGCCTGTGGGACTCTCTCGGCCGGAGGGCTCTCCAAGGGGGGCGGCGGGGGCGGGGACGGAGAACGGCCGGCGGGCCTTCCTCCCCGGGCTTCCCTCAGTGCCCCCGCCGCCCCCATTCTGGGTGGGCCTGGGGCGAGCCGGCCCCCCAGCCCAGACCTGGCACGGGGAGCACCCTGGGGCCCAGGGGACGGAGGAGAGGCCAGGCAGCCCCCGAGCCAGGGACGGACAGGGCTGCCGCAGACTCTGGGCCGGAGCCCGGGGCCCTGTGCCCGGGGCGTCCCAGCTGTGTCCCCCTGAAAACAGCAGCCCCCGGGGCCGGGCCGGGGCCGGGTCTCCCGCCACCCCTCAGCCCTCTCTCCCCACTGTACAGCCGCGTCCCTCGGCACCGCACTGGCGGCCCCCCAGCAGCGCCTTCGGGGCCTCAGGACAGGTCGCTCGAGGCCCATGTCTTCGGGGGTCCCGGTACTTCCTCCTCAGCGCCCACTGCAGCCCAGGCTGGCTGCACAGGGCACTCCGCTGAGGTCACCGCCTGGCACGCCAGAGGGCCCAGGCGCTGCCTGGCCGGCCGGGGACCGGGAGGTCAGCGGGTGACCCGGACGCACCAAGGCCAGCCTGCCGGCCGGCCGCCCAGGCCAAACCAATCTGTACCGCTCCTGGTGCCCCACCCGGGCCTGGGACCACTCAGAGGCCGGCCTGGGAGCCGGAGGCAGGTCCTCCGGCCGGGGGCCAGCTGCCCGCCCGCCCTGCAGCAGGGAGGCCCCCTCCCAGGAGGCCCCCTCCCCACGGCCACATTGACACCCCAAAAGGGGATGTCTCGGCCCCCTGGCTGGCCCCGCCCCGGGAGTGGGGGCCAGGGCTGAGCGGAGGGGCGGACGGCGGACACTGGGCCCAGAAAAGGAGGCGGAGGAGGTTGGGATCGGCAGGGCCTGCCTAGGGCAGCGGCCAGGTGCCCCCACCAGCCCCGGCAGAGTAGGGGCGGCCTGCCCTAGGTGAGGTACGTGAGTGAGGGCGGTCCAGGCCGGAGCAGCTGGGGCGGGAAGGGGGCCGGCGGGGAGGTGCCCTCCAGGCAGCGCTGCCCGAGCCCGAGTCCTGGCTGGCCCTGCTGGCCCGGAGACCCCGGAGAGTGGTCCAGAGCCCCGCCACACCACAGGTGCTGGCAAACCGTGAAGAGCGTCCAGAGGCACGTGGGCCGTGCCAGCTGGTGGGGCCGACCTTGGCGGGGGCTGGGGGGCTGGGGCCCCTCTGGGGGCCACGGGGTGGGGAAGGCCGCGCACCCAAGAACCTCGGTCGTGGTGTGACAGGTGGGGCTCCCCGCGCACCCAGCTCGGACGAGGGAGGTCCCGGGCGCGGGGGCGGGTCAGACGCTGGGCTTCCTGGAGCCCCGGGCCACCTCGCACGGCCCGCTGCTCGCCCAGGCCCGTGCTCCGCCCCTTCTGGGAACCGGGAGGACGCTCCCCCTGCCGCCCTCAGGCCCTGCCCGCCCCTGGAACTGGGCCTCGTCACCCACGGGGCTGGCAGTGGGCTCAGCCGCAGCCGGTGGCCGCCGCGTCGCCCTGGCATGGGGGGCCGAGGGGCAGCCACCCCCAAGGGGACCTCATGGTGCACAGCCTCTCACGCTCCTGCCTGCTCCGTGCCCCACGGCCCCACGCACCACGCAGGGCAGGTGCTGCTGCCCCGTGTCCCCGGTGGGGAGACCGAAGCCAAGGCCAGGGCGCCTGCCGCCCTGGCGCTCACATTTGGCGGCTCCCCGGCCTGGCGGCTGCTGGCAGAGGAGCTGGCACCTCCGCTGGGCCCTGGGGCAGTGTTTGCCCTCTCCTGTTGGCAGTAAATATTTACCATCCTCACGTGTCTCCGGGCCCGAACAGGCCCTTCAGGGCACCAGGTGGGGGTGGCAGGGATGCCGGGCGGGACCCTGGCCCTTGAGGGCCTAGTGCCCAGCGGGGCCGCCCGGCGGGGGCAAGAGGGGGCCCAGGAACCAAGCGCTTGAGCGGCTGGGTGAGGCCCCCTCGCAGAGCTCAGGCTGAGCCCAGCTGGCACCTGTGTCCCTAACCTTGGGACGTCTGTGCCCGGGCTCAGGCAGGGCCAGGCCCCCAGGACAGGCGGCTCTGCTAGGTGGGCACCTGTCCACACGGAGCAAGGTGGGCAGAGCAGCCGTTCACAGGAGTGACCAGCAGAGGGCGCCAGAGCCCCGCATTTGAGGTGCATCCCTGGCCAGCTGTCTGTCCCCACTCTCTGTCCCCCTGCAGGGACTCCCAGGGATGCCAGAGGGGTCGTCTGGAGGCGGGGAGGGCCAGGAAGGAGCCTGTGCATGTGTCCAGTGTCCCAGGCCCTGCAGCCAAGCCCCCTCCCAGCCTCTTGCCGGCCCTGACTTCCTGGGAGGAGAGTCCCAGGGAGAGCCAGGCCCCCCAGCCCCCAGAATCAGAGGCCCGGCAAGCCCTTCGGGGTGCCCTGCAGCGCCCTGCATTAGAGCCGAGCAACCGGGGCAGGAGGTGGGGGCCAGGAGCCTGGGCCCAGCGGGAGCCTTGGCTGAGGGTCTCGGGGCGCTGGGGACATGGAGGCTGGGGCTGAGGGAGGTGGTCACCGTCAGGCCAGGCAGCCCCTTGCTCTGCCAGCAGCCGCCTCGGGCCCTGGAGCCAGAAGGCTCATGGGAGGCAGGGGCTTTGGGGACGGGGACCCTAGGCCCAGGGGGCTTCAGGCAGGGGTCATGCCGGCTCGCGGTCGGTTCTTTCCCATGTCCGCCCCCCTCTCCCGCCTGCCCGCCCAGGGCGGAGAGGTGAGGGTCAGCTCCAGAAAGAATGTGGGGGGGGGTGTCCGGAACTGTGGAGACAGCAAGCGGAGGGGGGCGCCCCCGTCCCCTGCGGGCACTATTGTTTCTGGATGCCGTACAGGGACAGCCAGGCAGAGCCCTCAGAGTGGAGGGGACAGAGCAGGGGCCGCCCCGGGTCCCCCGCAGCCCGGTCACAGCCCCAGCTGGCACCAGCGCCGGGCCCCCCACACCCTCTGCCCCACAGCTTGCCTTCCGCCCCAGGCAGCCGGCCATCCACACCTGCTGCCGCCTGGACTGCCCCCCTGCAGCGCCTCCGTGCCTTCGGGGGGCCCCGTGCCTGACCCACGAACGGACCCCCGCGGCCGCCCTGGGAGCTGGGCTCGGGGCCAGGCCCCATGCTCCGAGGCACTGGCCCCCCAGGCGCCGGGCTGCTGAGCCATCAGAGACGGGGGCCCGCGTTCCGCCTGCCCCACTCCGCCCCCGCCCCCCGCGGCCCATCTGTGTTTTTGGAAAACACAGCCGGCGCCCCGCAACCTGCAGGCCTGGGCCCATCCCGCTGCGACCCGAAGCCTCTGTTCTTCGAACTCCGTCCAACTTCGGGACTGGGCCCCTTCCAGCCCCACCGCCCACAGGGCCACCCTGCCGGCCCGTCCCACAGCCCCGGCTGCCGGGGCCCGTGGAAATGCCCTTCCCACTCCGGCCGCAGGCTCTGGGCTGTGCGTCCGTCCACACGGCGGCAAGAACGCGATGTGGGAAGGGCGGGCCCCGGGACCCCGGGCCGAGCCCGTGGCCCTGAGCCGGCCGCTCTGGCTGCCCTGGCTGTCGCCGTCCCTCCCGGCCCCTCCCGGCCCCTCCCGGTCCCTCTATGACCCTCCACAGCCCATTCCTGGCTCCCTTCCGAGGTCTGACGTGCTCAGTCTGTCCGAGGGCGGCATCAGGATGCTGATGAGGACGGGCTGCCAGGCGGGCCTCCCCCCTCAAGGCCCGCAGAGTGGACTCGTCCTGCCGTCCGCCGGGGGCGCTTCCCCGCCCCGGTCACCTGTGGGGAAGGGTGGGCAGGGAGCCCAGAAACGGAAGAGGGAAGAGCCGGGTGCCCCCACCTCAGCTCCGGCTGCGGTCCGAGCACAGCGCGGGAGGCGGGACGGGATGGGCAGCCTGGGGGGCTTCCTGGAGGAGGTGCCCCCACACAGCTGTCTTGGCCTTGACTGTGAGTCCACGTGGGACTGTTGGTGTTCAGGGCACAGACCCAGCCCAAGGTTCAGCCACAGTTCCAGCCCGCACTCCCCTCCCTAGAGCCACAGTAGCGGTAGCAGGCGGCGACGCCCAGGCCCTTCCCCCACCGCTGGGCATAGCTCGACCCTGGCCAGAAAAGGAGGAATAGCTACGGTCTGGACACAAAGGGGCTCCTTCCGGGGGGTCCCTCCTCGCCAGGCACGTCCTCGGCACGTGAGGCCTCCATACCGGCGCAGGGCTGAAGGGGCGCAGCTGGTGGGCCAGGCAGGCCGGGGCGCCTCTGGGCTCTGCCGCTCATTGCTGGGTGCCCCAGCCCCCTCATGCCTCCCCCGCAGGGCTGCCGACGGGTACGGTGCAGGACGCGGGCGGGGGAGCCTGCCCCCCGGGGCCTGGGGCTGTGGTTCCGGCGGGCCCCCCGCACCACACCAGCTCCTCTAGTGGGACAAGCGGGCAGTCTCGAGCTTTGTCCCCGTCCCCGGCACGGCGTGGGGCTCGCCCTCCGTGGGCCGGGCGTGCCAGCGAGGCTGGGGAAGCCGCGGGGGCCACGGCCTCAGGGCACCGGGCCGGGCTCTGGGGGCTTCTTGCTCTTGTCT